CCTATTCTTGCCCCGAAATCATTGAATCGCAGAACCTTTTCTATTCATACGCAGTTTCCAGTTTCTCGCTATATTATTTACCTATAGAGGCACGAAAACATAAAAACTTTCCCTTATTTATCAAATTGCGTTTGTCACGACTAATAGTCTTCATGAGCGGTTAGCAATGCCGTTTGTTGGTTAGCTGCCATAGTAAGTGACAAGAAAGAAAGGTGAACTTTATCTCATTGCTATTTTTTGTTTTCCGGCGCACTGTGACCGTCTTCTGTAAGATAACAAAGATGGCCTAATATCGTTCCGAAGAAAGTGTATAATTTTGCTGCAAAGGCCAAATTTGACACTAGGGGATCAAATGTGATTAAGAGTGCTCTCTTTATATTTGTTTAGTAACATTGTATAGTCGTCAGACTCTGCCCAGGCGGTGCAGCAAAAAAATGCCGCCACCAGCACCTCTATCACCGCAGCGGCCATTACTGGGTAGTGCAAAGCAAGCGAACATGCGCGCGTAGTCCCTAATCTTTCATTGGTGTTGAGGCGCGGTTTCATGAAAATCAAGGACCAAACTTGCAAGCTGCTTCCCTCAATCAAACCTCGCTTCAGAAAAGTAGGAAGATCATCAATGTAAACTGCGCGTAGAATGCAAAAAATGCTTCAGTTATTTCGGCGTGCTGCAGCTTGCGATGCAAGTGCAAGTGAGCATCGCGTGACCTTTATTCGTGACTATCTCTTCCACGTGGGTTATATAACGCATAAATGCATAAATTTGGTTGTACATAGGGAATACATAAGCATCGTTACGTTCAGTGATACGAAGGTCGCTACACCCGGCACGAATGGCCGCGGCGATTTCTCCGTTTGCAGTTGCGAACTCCATCCATGTCTAGCTTCCTGTGCGTTGAACTGTTTTTTTATGAATCATATAGTGTTCTTCTATGGTTTTCGTTCGTTAGTAGATACTGCAAATGAGGATACACGCTTGCCAAATTTCTCCGAGTACAAGAAAAGACTAAACCAAGGCCTCCAATATAACGCCTTCACTGGCGGAGGCACACGGCAAGAAAAATCTTATTGTGGCTATTGTCACAATTTTGCGATTTACCTGTATGACGCACGTGTACGAATTTGATAGTTAAAGCTACAACTTAGAGGCTTCAAAGTCTACGTGCTGATGCGTTGTGCTGGAGACCACTTCAGATTATCGGTGGTCACGGCATGTGCGATGTTTATAGCGTGCGTCAGCATGTCTACTGTTGCACGGAGTGCACCATGGTCAGATGCTTTGTTAAGCTTCATAATCAAGGTTACTGTGGTTCTCCGTCAAGGCTACTAAAGACAGTAACAGCAGACCTACATTATCACAGTTTTTCATGCTGCCGTATGTGGAGAATACTTCACCTACGCTTCCCATTCGCAACGCCCCGTATCGAGTGCTCTCGTCGTTGTGCTTCGCGAAAGCTAAGGAAATAGGTTAAAGTGAAGTCCTTTGCATCTAAGGCAATTCAGAACGAAAAAAAAGTAGCGTCGACTGGAGGTTTTTTTTTTGTAGAGAGCGAATCTGGTGCGTCTGCTCTTGTTCTCGCCGTCATTATGACGAGCCAACCAGCTAGCACTTCATGGCAGTTCGGTGACATTTCCGACTAGTGGAGAGATATTTACAGCTCTTATAACGCGAAAGTATTTTATGCCGTGTTCACCACGGCTCTGCCGACATATTTCCGTCAATAATATGACGTTCAAAGTATATACAATTTAATAGAAAGAAAAAAAGAAAGAAAAAGAAACAGGCACGAGTCTGTTGGGTGGAGTCGCACCAACAACATGTCAGTTTGCAGCGCGTGGTACTAACCTCTACTAGAAACGTTCTTCATATCATATCATATCATATCATATCATATCATATCATATGATGCCATACTCTAGAGAGCTAACTGCAAGCTATTTATATACACTATACACCATTAGGCGGTCCTCAGAGATCCGAAGATTTAGCGCGTTTTTGTTATCACTGGCGAAATGGCGCGACGCGCTCGCTTTGTGCGCGTTTTAAAGGTCGCCCACTCGACAAAGCATCGCCTCAAGAGAGCGCGGTCTGTCCTGCGCACACGCTTATGAGACTCATAATGCGGAAGAAGGCCAAGTTCACTTCGCTCGCTGTCGCGGCCGCATTTACAGAAGGAGCGCACTGCTGACACGCCACGAAAGAAGAATTCTGACAGTTATTCGCGCTTGTCCTGTGTATACGTGTGCACTCATTTCGCGCGTCTGTCTTCCTGTTTGACAGCGCACTTTCACTGTTGAGTTGACAGTTGCTAGTCTACGCTCGTCCTGTGTATGCTAATATCGAGCATGCTTTCTAATTCAGGTGTGCGCTGAAAATTTTGAGGTGATTGCCGTGCTCAGCGTTACTTTGAAATTTGTTGCTGTTACTAAAACGTTGTGCAATAAACGCTCAAACGCTTCTGTGAAGACTTGTTTCACTTTCGTGCTATGCCAATTCTTATATAAGGGTATGAGCCACAATTTTTTTAATGTGATAGCAAACATATGCACACTCTCGGCTGTTTTTTGCCTCTGGAGTCGGCGTCATGCAACGTATATGTACACGTACCTATATATATGAAAACTCAAGAAAGAAGAAAAGTTGCCCGCTCTCGGCACCCAGCTCGTCGCGATGTGTGGACACGCGCTTATCTCCCACATGAACCTTGACCCACGGATCAGGGGACGAATTAGATGCTTGGGCGCCCACGCTTATTCTTCAGTGGGGAAAATCGTGTGTCTTGGCTTTCACCGGAACAATGGCGTTTGTTGCCGGGCTCACAAAACCCCCTCAACTCGCTGCACAGGCCCAGTTTGCGAAAAGAGCCCTTTTAATTTTCGCACCCAGTACACTTAGAACAGTACACCCGGCCTCTTAGATTAGTTCTAGACGAATGCGTTACAGCGTCACTGCTATAGCTAATTACTGAGGCCACGTGTATAATAATCATGGCCAACTTGTGCCCTCCAGAGCTCTGCTAGGCTGGCGCGTGCCCTCTTCGTCATTCTCTTCATTCTCTGCCAGATCCTCGAGCACGGGAATCGGGGTGATTAGGTAATTCTCGGGGTGGCGTAGCTAACTAATTAGGTCAAGAGAAGCCGTGACGAAGATCATAGAGCAAGCCATAATAAGAGTGGGGTAATTAAGCCACTAGATAAGGTTCTAGCGTTAAACGTTGCCAAGTTCAGGTTCCAATGGCGGCCTGTCCGGATCCAGAGATTCTTAGCACCCTATGCTGCGTTGCAGATCTGACCGCCACCGTGGTCAGTTGCTTCGCAGCTGCTGGGGACTGAGGGCCGTGAGTTATTTGACGTATGCATGTGGGAGATAACTACCTCGATAAATAACTAACTGGATTCCAAGAGAAGGCAAGCGGGTTAGCGGGAGACAGAAGGTTAGGTGGGCAGATAAGATTAAGAAGTTTGCAGGTATAAATTGGCAGCAGCAAGCACAGGACCGGGTTAACTGGCGGAACATGGGAGAGGCCTTTGTCCTGCAGTGGACGTAGTCAGGCTAATGATGAATTATGCCACGTCTTAAGAGGACCAAGATAATGAAGCCTTGTAAATTTGTAAACCGAGAAAATGAAGACCCTGTCAACTAATGCATCGTTGATTAGTACTGCGCTAATAAGACGAAACTGGCAAGAGCCTTACTCACTTGGTGATTTAGGTTGTGCTAATTAGCGTTTCGTTAATTAGTTTTATAACTAACAAGTCATTGCTAGCTAAGCCTGATGGATTACCAAGATGATTCATACACTACCAATCAATAAAACACTGTGAAATAAGCCCTAGATAATTATTACCATCCAAATGAGACTAAAGTGATACGGTACTCACTACAAAGCAGAACAAGTGGACTGAGTTGGCGCGCCAAGTAAAGAGCTGGAAGATCATAAGCTCTTCTATGGCTGCAGAATAGCACAAGTATTGCAAGCTTACCAAACTGTTTTATATGCAAAGAACCTGCTGCTTAGTGCCCACCACGTGAAATGTCTGTGTTTCACCGGTACTGTGATAGCCGCGAGTTGAAATGCGGCCTTCGGAGACTCAGTCAGTTTGTACCCGACTTCACGCGTTTGATTGACTGACGCCCGCGGGTCCGCTCACAACGTTTGCACTTGCCGAGGAAAAGTGCTCATGCAGCAATGCCAGCGAGTGGGAGGATTCATCTATTAGTTCAATATCACAGTCTATGTACAGATGCACGGAGTAGTAAAAGCTGTATATTCATGTGGTTTGGATGTCCCCGCATTTTATTTCCTCGTACTCATGATCTAGCAGACACAGCCGTGCTGCTGCCGTAATCCGAGAGCCCCTGCTGAACCTGTCCGTGTATTTAGCTGCAATATTCGATAAAGGCGAAGTGAGCTACACGAGAGTGCTTCGTGTGCGCCTTGCTGCTTTCGACAGTGGAAATTTTGGGGCTGTATGTGGAACAAAAGTACTTGCCAGAAAGAGGACCAACGCTCACAAAGACATCTGTGAGGCATTATGGCAGGGGGGGGGGCAAAAATATAGCGTGCGAATAATGGTGACGTCGCTGCACTGTTGAAATGCTGACTGAGTGGCGGCGCTGTCATGTTTGCACGCAGTGTTCTTTTGCAAGCCACCGCAGATGTCACACATTCCTTTCTAATGCCATGATCGATCGTGTAGGCATTTTCCTCAACAAGAGCATCACACGCTCTGCACTTGTCTTTGTGTCATAACCGCTGTAGTGTGAGTTTGGAGCAAACTTGTGTATCCGAACAGCTCGGGCCCCCGTGCATATCATTATTCGCTTATGAATCTAACGCACCATGCCGGAGCTCATCACTTAGGTACTTTCCCTTTCACTTGGGTAAATTACACGGGATATATTTCGAGAGAATAAGTTCACCAATACACTTTTACTTGTGCCTGTAATACATGTACAAAGTGCCGGAAAAAACATCGAGAAAGCGAAATGTACTCACCCACAATTGAACACACGAGTATGACAGCGAATGCCTGCACCAGCATAATTGTTTGCTGGAGAGGAAAGACTGCGTTTGGTAGAACACAGGTTCAAAGCAAGTGCAACAACAGCAGGAGAGAGTAAAAGTCAGCTTTTTAGTAACAGCTGACACATGTCCGAAGAACAATAGTGAGGCGTCGCAGCATACTGCGGCAACAATAACCCTCTGTGACCATCTGCTGATATTTTGTATTCACAAACTTTACCTAAAGCGCATTTTGATATCACTTGGAATACAGTACACTGCAATGCAAGTTGATGTTTTGAATAAAATATTGCATACCTATATATATTGTCACATTAGTTCTCTCTGACTGTATTGAAAAAAAGAAGAAAAATGTGAAGAGACTCAATTTTCATTAGAACTAACAAGTGGTCCTGCTAAGTAATCCTAATTTTGAAGAAATTCACTTTGCGCATCCGTTTCGGATACAGCGAGGTAATGCTAGGCTTGGGAAATAATGAAAAATGCTTCCTTAAAAGACGCAGTAACTGTGGTTGCAGAATTCTTCCCGCGAATTGCACTTCAGTACTTTCCATTCACTTAAAAAATGAAAAAGCTATTTCGGAAACTATACAAATATAATTTGCCAAAAAAGAAAGATGAAGCGAGCAGTGCCTCTGATACGTATTCCTATGAAATTGACCCCTGTGAGATGGCTTTTGGAAATCCTTGCTTTTAGTACTCATACTTTGTTCGACAACTCTGATATGCCTTACGAATTCTAATACAAACTCGCAATCTAGTGCCTACATATACGGGGAAGGGGGCGGAACAGTAAACGATATTGTCTAAGTGAAAATATGTCTCTTACGGTGAATATGTCCCACTGGTATGCTGTTGCGATGGTGAAGTCACACGTTAAAGCTTCGGGACAGCGCGAGGGTTGTTAAAATGGTGCCGATTTGCGGCCCTTCACTCTTGATGCTGCGTGTACTCATGCACAGAAAACATGTCTGAAGGATAAATGACAGTGGGAAACGGTGGCACACGTTCCAGATCCAACTTCACGAAGTATTGAAGGGCACATCTTCGGCAAAACTATCTTCATTTAGAAATCGTAGGGAGGCGTAATGGCTCGACAAAAAAAATGCATCACTCAAGAACACGTTTTAGGTACTTCTCCACCAATAAGTACGAACAGGTAGGTAGTAATTTTTGGAAGGACATCATGATAAAATGAAATTATCAATTTTTCTGCAATAGACCGAGTTTATCTGGGATAGAGCGAAGATAGTACTTAAAACAACCTACCCTAACCTATAGGTCATGCACACCGAGCAAATGCGTAATGGCGCCTTAATTTAAACGTAGCACAACTTCTTAAACGTCAAATTTGGTCACAGTGGGCTAGGCCATTGCACGTTCTATAGAGAATACAATACATGTACGGTTCAATTCAAAGCCAGTTTCATTCTTCTAGGATTCGGCTAAGCTGTGCATTGCTCTTTGCGTTACCTTGACTTTAGTTGTTCATTTGACTCCAGCTCAATTGCCGTCTTCTTTTGGTACATTACGCGAAGTCTCGAAAACTAGAGCAGAAGTTGTTTTGAGACAGAAGAAACACTAGTCGCCAGAATTTATCACTCCTTATGTATTTAAAAAAAGAAATGCTTACCGGCTACAGTATAAATAGCTTTCACTTACAGAAAATAAAATTATCGCCTCCGACTACAGTATAAATAGCTTTCACTTACATAAAAAAAATTATCGCCTAGTCATTCTATACTATTTTACAGGCCGTCTAGTGTACGTCTGAATGAAGCATTATTATGCTCATAGTCAGAAACAGAAAAAGAACAGAAAAATCTGCCAAAATGTTTACCATGCACATCCAAGCACAACTAAGATAAACCTAGACAGAGTAGGCAAAATAGGCTCATGTTGCTAAGCACCATAGTTAGTGTTCAATCAATGCTAATGATCAGCGAGATCTTCGTATTTGTCTGTTCATGAGGCTCGTTGTTGAAAAAAAACGACACATTTATTGCATGGTCAACAAGTTTGTTTATTTGATGGTAGGCAGTCAATGTGATATGGATTTGCCACGCACTTTCCTTTTTCCAAGTTTCTTAGGCATTTCACGATCTTTTTTGAATGACAGCTTTTCTTCAAGCACGTACAGGTGAACTTAGTAACGTCAGATTTGCAGCCAATTTTTTTGCCATAAAACTTTGCCTTCCAGGGAAAGGTGCAGTGGGATTTACCACAGATAATTTTTGTTGAGCTGTTAGCTGAGAACTCTGGAACACCTTTTATGCCGGGCCCTGGGGAGAAGAAAACATATATGCGAAAACGCAAACTGTGTGTTGATAAAATGCTTGGCATAACATTGAACTCGGGTACCGATGACAACTCTTGGAAAAACATATTGGGTTACTGTAAGAGGGAAGCTGGTAAGAGTAAAGAAGTAGTAATATTAGAATATCTAAATAAATAGACATTGTTAGGTCAAACTGAATTAGGTAAATATTTATAAAATGCTATCGGTGATATTTGTTTGGTTAACCATCCCAAAAGAACGATATGATTAAGGGAGACGCCGTGGTCAAGTGCTCTGTAAATTTTGACTACCTCGAGTTTGTTACCATGCCTCTGCATGGGCCTCAAGCATTTCACCTCCATTGAAAATGCGGTCGCGGAAGTCTGGATTTAAGGCCGTGACCAGTGGGTCAGCAGTCGAGCATAATAGCCACATGAGAACGGCAGCGGGTATTTATTAAAGGCTGAATTTCCTGAAATTTTTTAAAATAACTTGTTCACTTCACGTCATGCAATAGGATTCATCATTTCTGTTAGCTCAGGATGTAACACGATTTATGAAATCATTTCGCAAGTTCTAATAACGCATATCAAGCTCTGGTCTTTCATTAATTCTTGTCTTTATGCGCCTATATTTTATTGTAGATTGAAAGAAGTACCAAAATATCTTGTGGACTTCATCAACTTTGAATCACCTGTTGATCGATTCATCGTTGTTTAATGTGCCATAATGATTACCTGATACAAATTGCGAAGCAGGTGACAATATGGCTCAGTAAAGAAGTGGGGGGGTGCTCAATACTCATCATAACAATATGCTTTGCTTGTGTGCTGGTATAAAATATTTGGATATTCATCCCATGTAACGTAAGGTTGAAAGCAATCTTATGCTCAAGGTGAGGGAAACGCGGTAGCACGTAGTAGACAAAGAAAAAGACGCATGAATTATGAGCTCTGTGCTGTAACATACCGAGAATAATTGCATAAACCATGTTTGCCATGTTATCAGCTCTTAATAAGTGGATGCATAAGCCAGTGGTGCTATGATTCAGGTTCCAAGTTTATCTAGGGGCGTGCAACGTAGTGGAACTTTGACCTTTATTTCGCATGTATACATGGCACTGGTAACGGAAATACAGACATGAACCCACATAACGTCATGACGACATCTCTGCCCCCCCTCCTTTTGTTTTGGCAACACACTGGGAGCGAGCAAAATTAAAGTTAACACTCCTTTTCATAATGTTTACACAAGTCAAATGATTGTCTATATGGCACAAAGGCGTCCCCTATAGTTTAGGTTACGAATATATTTAAGCCTCTATTAGTGTTATTGCTTCTTTGCGTTTGCGCTCACATAACTAAAGCTAATCGTTATTCTGAAATATTACAACTGGTTCCTCATACCGCAATATGTCTAAAATGTAAGTTGAACAACCTGATTTTATAGCATAGAGGCCCCGTGCTCTAACTCGAGAAAATAGTTTCGCCGGCTCAATGAATAGTGGATAATCTACATTTATTTTAATCTGTGACGACGTAGGTATTCAAGAACTAGCTATCTTGATTAGTTCACTTAAGAGAACATATGACGCAATACGCACAGCAAAAAAAAAGAACTGCTGGAAGAGAAATAAGACACACGCAACCAAAAATATATAAAGTGTATAATTTGGGAGCATAATGACTTTAAATGGCTGCTCTTAATCCGTAAATACAGAACATCATGTTTACATATACTCGTGTCATAGTAATACTGGGAGTTACTATTCATACATGTGAATGAAATACAGCATTCGCCAGCTATAAAGGCCACTTGATTTTTGTACTACTTTAATCACAATAACGCTTCAACGTTTCCCCCATGTTCATTTGTTTGACCTAGGCGTGGTTTGGCATACATATTCATATGTCTAAATGCACACAAATATGTTGAGATCATTAGTCAATATACCTCGGTGTTGCAGACATTTTGTCTCGAATTAAATGAAATCAACACTGTCTTCCTCAAGACATGTCCTTGTGTGCTGATGACTTCTGACATGTCTAGAGCCATGAGTATGGTAAATCAGTGTCTCATGCAAAGAAAATATTGTCGCGAGCAAAAACAAGATCTGCAGCCAGGAGTTCACCCGAACCGGAGCAACCAAAACGTTCTCTTCTTCTTCGTAGCCCAAAACGGGTATGAGCCACAGCGGCTCGTTCATCAATGGTGGCATTACCCCCTCTCCCAAGAAGCATCGTCCCGATGCTGTACATGAAGGCAAAAAAAAAAGAAAATGGGATGAAAATTACCATGTAAGCAAAATGAATGGCGTAAAGCGGAATAACATAGTTGGTTGTGGAGTCAAGAGTTAAATGAGAAATAAGAAAAATAGGAAAGAATGTAAGGGAGACCTCGCGACCTCGTGACCTCGCGACCGTGGACTAAGCGAAAAGGTGTGAAACCAGTACTTTCTTGAACAGCAGTATTATACGCAAAAGTTACGTAGGGAAGTATGGCGTCCCAGTTCTTGTGATTGATGTCCACATACATCGACAGCATGTCTGCAATTGTCTTATTGAGTCGTTCAGTCAGCCCGTTTGCTTGCGGGTGGTAAGCCGTTGTTTTGCGATGTTCCGTGCCACTTAATCGCAAGACTTCCTGCAGCATCTCTGCGGTGAAAGCTGTCCCACGATCAGTTATGACGACAGCTGGAGCACCGTGACGTAACACGATGCTGTTCACGAAAAATTGGGCGACATCTGCTGCGGTCGCTTTTGGAAGCGCCTTCGATTCACAGTAGCGTGTTAAGTAGTCGGTAGCGACCACAATCCACCGGTTTCCAGACGAAGACGTGGAAAATGACCCCAGCAAGTCCATGCCAATTTGATGAAAGGGCGCCTTTGGTGGGTCTATTGGTTGCAGTAGTCCCGCTGGTCGTAAAGGTGGAACCTTACGTCGCTGACAGTCGCGACATGTGCAAACGTAATGCTTCACAGTCTTTGCGAGACGTGGCCAGTAGTAGGAGCGTTGAATCCGTTGCAGCGTGCGCGTATAGCCGAGGTGTCCGGACGATGGCTCATCATGACACGCACGTAAAATGTCACCACGAAGCGTAGTTGGCACAACAAGCAGATACATAGCTTGTGTAGGAGGAAAGTTCTTCTTGTAAAGCACTCCATCGCTGAAACAAAAGGAGGATAGCGAGCGTGCAAAGCTTCGAGGAGGGTGGGAATTGCGTCCTTCCAGGTAGTCAATGAGTGGAATGAGCTCCGAGTCGTGACGCTGTTGCTCAGCTAAGCGGGTTGCTGATACGGCAGAAAGGAAAGTGTCGTCGTCTTCAAGGTCAGTGTTGGCATTTTCGACCGGTGCACGTGAGAGACAGTCGGCGTCGGTGTGTTTCCGCCCAGATTTGTGGACGATGGTGACATCGAAATCTTGTAGCCGAAGGCTCCATCGTGCTAGACGACCTGAGGGATCTTTGAGATTTGCGAGCCAACGAAGGGAATGGTGGTCGCTAACTACCCTGAATGGGCGGCCATACAAGTATGGGCGGAACTTTGTTATGGCCCAGACAACAGCGAGGCATTCCTTCTCGGTTGCAGAATAGTCTTTCTTCGCTGCGGATACCGTTCTGCTCGCATAAGCGATCACGCGCTCTACGCCATTATGCCACTGATCTAATACCGCTCCTAGTCCAACGTTGCTGGCGTCAGTGTGTAATTCCGTGTCAGCGCTTACGTCAAAATGACCCAGTACAGGTGGAGCCTGAAGGAGGTTTCGGAGGGTGTCGAACGCATGACACTGATCGGGACCCCAAACAAACGAGACACCGTCTTTTGTAAGCTTGTTGAGGGGTTCAGCAATCTTCGAAAAGTTTTTGACAAAGCGCCTGTAATACGCACAGAGCCCCAGAAATCGGCGTAGGTCGCAATATTTGTGGGCACGGGAAAGGCGGCAACAGCACAGGTTTTCTCCGGATCTGGGCGGATGCTGGCATGGCTCACAACGTGACCAAGGAACTTCAGTTCTTCATATCGAAAATGACATTTCTCCGGTTTGAGAGAAAGCCCCGCTGTTCTGATTGCCTGAAGTACTGCATGAAGGCGTTGGACGTGTTGTTCAAACGTGTCTGCAAAGACCACGACGTCATCAAGGTAAACAAGACATGATTGCCATTTGAGCCCTGTGAGAACCGTATCCATCATTCTTTGGAAAGTAGCTGGCGCTGAGCATAGACCGAAAGGCAACACTTTAAACTCGTACAGGCCGTCGGGAGTAATAAACGCCGTCTTTTCGCGGTCGCGCTCATCCACTGCGATTTGCCAGTAGCCGCTACGTAAATCCATGGAAGAAAAATATTTAGCGTTGCGTATACGGTCCAACGAGTCATCTATCTGGGGTAGAGGATAAACGTCTTTTTTGGTGACCTTGTTCAGTTTACGATAATCAACGCAAAAACGCAACGTACCGTCCTTCTTCTTTACTAGCACAACTGGCGAAGCCCAGGGACTGGTTGATGGCTGGATGACGTCGTCCTGAAGCATCTGCTGGACTTGGTCACGTATAGCGTCTTGCTCTTTTTGCGACACCCTATAGGCGTGTTGTCGGATGGGTCTCTCGGTGGGTTCCGTAACGATACGGTGCTGAGCAAGTGGTGTCTGTTTACCCTTTGACGTAGTGGCAAAGCAGTCTTGAAATGAGCCGAGTAAACGCAAAAGGCTTTCTCGTTGAGACGAAGGTAGTCTCTCGTTTACGTCGAGAGTGCTCGCAAACGCCTCGTCAGAGTGGCCATTCGATGAAAATAAAGCTAACGTTGGCGAACCATCGGCATCGGCAAGTTCTTCACAATATGCAATGGCAGTGTGTCTCGTTAGGTGGCGATATTCGTCGCTGAAGTTCGTGACCAGCAGGTGAACATGCCTATTACTAGGCTGAATGATTCCTCGGGCAACACAGATTTGTCGTGAAATAAGGAGAGACTAATTGGCCTCTGCAATTACCGCATCAGACATGTCCTGTCCCAATTCTACTTCGACAAAGAGGCTGCTTCGAGGTGGGAGAGTCAGAGAATCGTCGGTAACACGAAGTGCTCTTTTCCGGAATTGTGTACTGTCAGTTGCAGCGCAAAAAGGATCCTCGAACGACACAAGTAATTCACGGAGGTCGATGACGGCGCCGTATTCACGAAGGAAGTCCATTCCTAGAATGACTGGCCGAGAGCACACGCGCAATACGAGGAAAGATCCTGCAAATGTCGATGTACGTATACGAATGCGTGCCGTGCACATACCGGTAGGCATCACCAGATACCCCCTGCCGTGCGCAACTGGGGTCCTTGCCATGGTGTGGTAACCTTCCTCAGTTCAGATGCCAGTGCGGCGCTCATTACGGAATAGTCGGCGCCGGTGTCGACGAGGGCGTTGACAGCATGATTGTCGACGAAGACGGCGATTTCGGCAGAAACGATCTTTCTGCTGTCAGAGAACACTGCAAAACCGGAATGGTCCTCGTCTGGTCGTTGCGTCGAATGAGGGTGTTTTACATTTCGCCGGGCTGCGACTTCACCCCCAGAAGTCGCCGTTCCTAGTTTCCCTTGCGGGGACTTGGTGACCGGCTCCTGAAAGGAGCGGAAGACGATGAGGGCAAACTGGGTGACGTAGACCGGCGAGGCGACGGTGATCTCGACTGGTGGTGCTGAACAGTCGAACGTGTTCGCTGGCCCGTGAGATAGGCTTCGATTTCACGGGGCGCTCACCGTAGCGTGGGCATCGAGCATCAGGATGGAAGCCGCGGAGACCTAGTTGCCGGTATTGACAGTTCCTGTATACGTGACCCGCTTCGCCGCAGTGATAGCAGAGCGGACGGTTATCCGAGGTGCGCCACGTGCTTGCCTTGCTACCACTTTGTCTTGAGGTAGACTGCAGATAGGTGGGTGTGCTCGGGAACCTTGAGCCGTGAGGCGGGCTCGAAGCAGTGGCGTGGAATGACTGCATAGCCTGGTACCTGGGCCGCACAGCAGGATCTGTAGCCGGTGGCGCAGGGGATCGCAATGCCGCTGCGTATGTCAGGACTGGCGCCTCGAGGATCGGTGGTGTGATTGGGGTTAGGGGTGTGACGGCGTGCCGGACTTCTTGTCTGATTACATCCGCGAGGGCAGACACAGGTTGATGGGATCCCACCGCCTGAAGCTGTCGCAGTTCGTCCCGAACAATACTTCGAATGAAGTCTGCAAGGGCCTGTCTCTCGCTGTCAGAGCCGATAGAGCATGCGGTGGCCGGGATCTGGCGTTCGTATTGTGATGACCGCTGCTGCAGCGTACGTTCCATTGTGTTCGCCTCACTGATGAACTGGGCGACTGTCGTTGGTGGATTGCGCACGAGCCCAGCGAAAAGCTGTTCTTTTACTCCGCGCATCAAATGCCTCACCTTCTTTTCCTCGGGCATGGCAGGGTCCGCGCGCTTGAAGAGCCGAAGCATGTCCTCGTCAAACATGGATACACGTTCGTTAGGCCGTTGGTTTCTGCTGGATATGGCTTGTTCGGCCCTCTCCTTCCTCTCGGTGTTCCGAAAGGCGTCACAGAGCTGACGGCTAAACTCTTGCCAGGTCGCAAAGGAGGCCTCGTGGTTCTCGTACCACGTCTTCGCAGAATCCTCCAAGTAAAAGTAAACTCGGCGCAGCTTGCGAACATCGTCCCATTCGTTTATACAGGCAACCCGATCAAAGTGGTCGAGCCAGTCATCAACATCCTCGAAGATATCTCCATGGAACGGCTTTGGTGTCTGTGGCGCATGAAAAACATGGTCGAGAAGAGAACCATGGGCATCGCTGGTTTGGACCGCCTGGCTTGTCATCGGAGTTGCCATCTTTCTGAGTGTCGATGTCAAGGGACCAAATTCAGGAGGTAACCCACGCAGGCGGCGGCTGCTCCTTGCTCTGGGAGATGTAGCTGTCTCCACGATGGCCGACACAGCCGAAGTACACGTACCCAGCACCTCCACCAGTAATGTCGCGAGCAAAAACAAGATCTGCAGCCAGGAGTTCACCCGAACCGGAGCAACCAAAACGTTCTCTTCTTCTTCGTAGCCCAAAACGGGTATGAGCCACAGCGGCTCGTTCATCAATGGTAGCAATATAAACTAGGTAAAGTAATCTATGACGTGACATTTCAATGTTGAGTGCCACTCCAGCATCGTTATATGTATTAAAACGTCATACCATTTTTCCGTTATGAGCTTCGAGGCAGTAAAAAAAGCGTTGCTGCCTACTTCATGCTACGTATGCCCATTGCTGTCAAATTGAGGTTGAATATTGGTGACTGTCGTAAACGCGGCGCGTTTATGCACTTGTTGCTACTTTAGGTTATCTTCTCGCAGAAAAGTCTAACCTCTAATTGCTCATGAGTGAACTAGGGTGACAAGTGTTCGCATGCGACTATAATAAAATAGCGCGATGATACTGCACTGTCACAAATGAGTATGCTATTTTCGTGATTGCATGGTGCTAACACTTCTATCAGCGAAATAACAGTGTTGCGTGACCACTGAAGGGAATAGGCAGATTTCTGGGGCACACAAGGCAAACAGAGGCATTCATTCGTAATCCTACGTCAGAAAAAAATACCTTTCATTGTGACTCCAGCCACTATAGGTTAATAAAAGCATCGGTTGCTTCTCTTTTCCTGGGGTCGCCACTCAAGGGACCTTGTGAGCACAACATTCAGGCCAGTTTTCAGAATCAGCTGGTTAAGCTATCAAAAGTCGGCCACCTTGGTTCTGTCTTGTGACTGTGGCTGAAACGTTATTAGAGACAATTTAAGTGTGCACTCTTGTAATTGGGGTTGAAGTCGCTGAGTTCAGTAGCTCTAGCCATGAAGTTGTGTGTTATGTGCACAAAATGAGCCGCAATTACAAACACCACCAGGCCTGTGTGAAACGCGCAGCACTGTCACAGCGAAAGCTAGAAAATTGGCCTTTTATAGCTTTTTTGGTACCTTTTTGGGCCTTTCAAAGCCTCTTTGGGCGGCTGCTGCAAGCACAAGTGCAGAATATTCACTACGCCATAAATCATTGTGTAGTAGGAGGCATTCACTAGGCTGGCCTTCGTCATTCTTCGGAAAAGCCTTGTACTCGCTGCACACTTGCAAGGAACCTTGTGCATTTTTTGTTGTGCTGTGGCTGACGTCAATGAAAAAGTATGCCAGACGCTTCTGTTATCCTCACTATTCCTCACAGTGGGTATAGCCAGAATAGAGAGGCGAACAAAGTCAAGATTTTGAAAAGGGATGGAGAATTTTACAGCCCACTCGTTGCACAATTCGCATTGTGTGACACCTGATTGTTTCTTTGCTGGTATAAAACGCTTAATAAAAATAACGTGATTCATTTCCCGACAACAAGCCCTGCCTAAGGCCAGTTTGCAAAAGAATTCCAAACACCGGCGTGGCTCAGAGGTTGGCACGTAGGAAACCCAGTTTCGAATATCAATGTGTCCTTGGTATTTTTGCTTACTGGGTTTCTTATAGTGGTTACAGCCACAGGTGGCCTGTGTTGTGATGTCATAAGAGCTTTCGCTGTAAAAAAGTGGCCAGTAAGTACGGCGTACCCATTACTTTTTCTGCTACCAATATGATTGCCCAATCTCATCGCCGCATCATGAATAATCATTTCTAAGGCTGTTATTTTAAACATGCCAAGCCACATGTGCTTTGCGCCACCGGAGTGGTGAATCTTGTGTGGCAGCAAGTGCGGCGTAGGGTGAACTGGTCGATGCGTCAATGACAAAATGAAAGAGCACGTGACTAATTTGAGTGAGGTCATGAATGCACATCTATCTGCGCTTTTCAAATTTTACGTATGTGCTCCGAAACTTTATGATGCATATATCCTGGGTAGGAGTAAAAATAGAAAGGCACGATAAGTTTTAAAACCGTATTTCATCAACAAATATGGTAGCGATAGCGTTAGCCGTACGTCTGTTGCCTTGTTTACCTTTAAACATACGTTTTTTTTTGTCGTACTGTTGTCAGTAATGTTTACCAAGCACCCCCTGCCGCCTGCCGGATGCAGCTCTCGTGCCTGCCTCGTTGGAACATACATTCTGTGCCTAGTCAACTTTCCAAAGATGTTCATAGTAGTGCTTGTGGTTTGTTGTTCTGTGTGTCTGTTGCGTGTTTTTTTGCCTATAACAATAAAAATATAAAAAATAGCATGTGCGGCGGTGGCGAAATGATTGCATAAATATATATCGAGACATTTGGGGCGTATCCTTTCATAACATACGAGAAGTTGTGGCGAGTAATGCTGGTAACCATGTCCACTGAAGTATCTAACAAACATTGTATGCTGAGAAGCATGACCGTGGAAGTGAGCCGTCCCTAGAAGTGCCATGACACTGAGCTACATTTTACTGGTGCAATTAACTAAGCAAGTGCACCAAAACTGTAACACCAATTAAGAAACAAAAGCTACGGAAGTCTTATTCTCACAAGGACATTAGCTAATTATGAAGTACCATGTTCGCGTTGGTAAGAGCAAAAATGTATGTAGAATGAGGTGTTACACTTGTTAGAGTGAACCTAAAGTCTTACGGTGACCCTCGAATTCAAATCATGGTTTCGGGAGGCCAAACAACAACAACAAAAACAACAACATTATAATAATAATAACAAACTAACATGTTAGGTCCGTTGTAAGGTTAGGCAAAGAAGCACTCTGTAGTCACAAAGTGCATGAATTATTACGAATGCAACGCATTCGTCCGCAACATCACTTACCAGTATATCCAGTTATGTTATCGTTTGGGTTGGGTAAAAGATCATGAGGCCCTGGTCCTACAAACGAAAACAGGTAATTTTTATCATCGCAGATTATGAAAAGTAAGAGTACTTCTACTATTGAAAAAGTTGGGGCGAGACAAGGTTGGCGTGTGCATAATTAACCTGATAGTTTCCGTTCTTACTTGTTTTGCATATCGCATTGTGCACGGCTCCCCCTTTTTTATTCCTACATACCGAATATTGCACTTCCAGCTATGTGTTTTCCTGCGGAACACTCCTGTAAGCTACGTGCAACCGCAAGAAGTCATGCATGAAACTATTGGATGTGAGAAAAAAGAGCAAAAATGAAATGACTCGATGAATCGAAGTGAACAACAGTGAAGAAAGCTCGGTAAAATATCAGATTTCAATACCCGAAGTCCTATCTCTAGCCTTAGAAAAAAGCACCTGGAAACTTTACTAAAATTTTAAGCAACTCCAAATTCTAAAAATATTCCTTTTCTTGGGGCTTCTTCACTTGGCCACGGCACTAGGAACGCCTGCACTGCAGTCTGTGACATTCTTAGAGGCACACCAAGAATTAGTTATGTTGTTACAATAAAAAATGCACTTCTTCACACCAATTTCATGGTATTGCATGTAAATATACTATACCTATGTAACAATTACAGGACCGATTTGTGCATTTTCTTTCATCAAAATTTTAAATAATTTCGTTATGCTAACCGCTGGTGTATATGGCGAATCAACAGTAATGGGTACGAGCCACTTGTAAGCAAGCAAGCAAGTAAGCAAGAAAATGGCTAGCAATACGCTGACTGACTGCACTTAGCTATTATAGAAAACAGCTAATATTCCAGCGCAAAATTGATTATTGCAAAATTATTGACAAAAAATTGGCAAATTGCACGTGCATTGGGAATCGCTGGTATGCGAAGCACGAATGAGGAATGTTGATATGTCACTGTGAAATCAACACAACGTTACGGGGTGTAAATAAATGATGCCGTACATGACTTCCATGTCATGATTATCATGCTTGAATGTGTCGTTTACCTTCGTCATCTATTCACGTCACGTGATACCAGAATTAGTATATGTGGAGCCAGCGAAACGGCTGCGAGCGCGTTATGAGCGTTCTATGCTGCCATGTTTTACATGACATGTGTGTTCGGATTATCATGTTTGCACCAGTCATATATTTCGATTGATCTGTGGAGTTTAACGTCCCAAAACCACTATACAATTATGAGAGACGCCGTAGTGGAGGGCTCCGGCAATTTCGACCACCTGGGGTTCTTTAACGTGTACCGAAATCTGAACACAAAGGCCTACAACATTTCCGCCTCCATCGGAAGTGCAGCCTCTGCAACCGGGATTCGAGCCCGCGACCTGCGGGTCAGCAGCCGAATACCTTAGCCACTAGACCACCGTGGCGGGGCCCAGTCATATATTTCGTCATCAATTTACTTCACGTAAGACCAAAATTGGTATTTCATAGCTAGCAACACGGCCGCAAGCGCATCGTTAAGGGCCCAATATACTACTATGTAGCGTTGACGCGCACGCATGCTGGGCACAGCGACCCTACGTTAGCGAAATGCGAGCACTCTAAAGTCTGACGCCAGGCGCGACCAGCGTCTGTCAGCGCAGCCTGACGGCAAGCGGCGTGAAATGCGACGTGCTGCATTTCACGCCGATGCACTACCCAGACAACACAGCGTCTCCCTCCTTTCGTAACGAAGAGACGCCGGATGCGCTGAAACACGCATGTGTCAAAGCAACGCAGTACGGCATGCACGTGCGAGTATTCGGTCATTCCAGCGACGCAGGCGGCGCAATGTAGCCGTGCTCCGAAGCTGTCACACGGTGATAAAACTGCGACGCAGTTCGGTCTCTCAGTAGTCATGAACCAATGAACGCGTCTTCATGCCCTCCGACGCTGACGTAAATGCTCGTGACATCACCGTCTCGTCCGCAATTTCAACCTTCCTCTGCGCCGCTATAGTAGCTGGAATGGTCAAATAAGGCAGGACCAGCGCCTGACGGGGTAACACCGGCGTGACGCAACGAAATGAACGCCTGCGAGCACGC